ACTTATTAAATTTTGGTGACATTCCGAATTACCGTCTAGACGCAGCAGCGGTGTAAGTACATCTGAAGTATATATATTATATACGCACCTTGGCGGAGGTCTGCACTCTCTGAGTGCTTTTCTAGTATTGTTATTAATATTGTACAAATTTGTAGATATATAGATGTAAATATTAATAGTGTATCTGTAAAAATATATTTAATTATTTAATTTAACACACTCATTGGTTTCTCCTTCAAATCTGTGTTTGTTGCACTTTGAAATGATCATAAACATTCTGCAGAACCCAGACATCCAGACAGTTAGATATGAAACCTGGATGCTGTGTAATGCACTTAATGTCACATCTGTCACACTTGCACCTGTAAAAATCAAAACCACAGTTAAGATGTATTTTAACATAGGAATTTGCTAACAGTTAGGGCCAGGCCAGCCAGATCACAGGCCTATTGGACTAGGTCCCATTTTCTTCGGTACGATCGACTTTGAAAACCTGCAAAGGAATCGCCAATCATCTCCACTAACCCCAGCTGTATTAATCAAATCATGTTCATGGCCATAGCTTGCATGGCATGATGACATTTTACAGGATCAGGACCCTGACACACTGATATCTAATTAATATGGCCAGTCACACTGGAAGCATGCAGTGCACCCTGCATGCCCTGTATATAGACAGGACGTTTTGTTTACAGTGTAGGCTAAACTGCATTTCGCATCATTTTGATGGCGAGCCTAGATGCCGTATACTCATCAATAGTACCTCAGAATACCCTATTAAACTAACGTTAGAGACATGAGAGAAGGGATGTAAAAAACTGAAATGCCGCGGACTCCAAGAGCTCCTCTTAAGACAAATACTCGGGCTCAAATTGGTAACCAAGCACCACACCGTCTTGCCAAACATGCCATACATCTTCACTGTTATCGGAAAAGCTTATAGAGTCCAGACTTGAAAAGCTATCAGTACTAGATGAAGAAGAACACGCCATAGCCATAATACACAACACTGACACTAACACAACTCATGACGTCATCGCAACTAATTCCAAGAGATGGCGCTGCGAACAGAATTTTAATGTGTAAATTAGCAGACGACGCATATTTCGGTAAAAAAATGCTTCAAAACTATATTTTTAGACAGAATTTTTTTTTGCAACAAGTTGCTTTTGAAAAAGTAGTATCTCAGCAATGAAAAATGCAAAGTTGTGCACAAGCTTAGTGGTTACTCTTTAAGCTTTAAGAAGGTAACTAGCCTTGCAGATTTGCCACCAAAATCATAATTTTTTTTTTTAGTTATGTCTGGAAAGTGGTAATTATATATATATTTTTTTCTTGTTTTAATGAAGCCATTTTGTTCATTTTTAGAATTATATTTAGGTCTGGAAAGAGTCATGAAAAAGAAGTTTGATAGGATGAATGACATAGAATCTTTACTAAGAGCATTAGATTCAGATGTTCATTGCAGGGTTTGCAATATTTATCATTCTGCAAATTCTCACAAGTTTGCTAGCTCTTCAAACTGGAATTTAGAGTAGAGAATTATGCCATCTGTATTATTCCTTGTGTTTGAGAAATGGTGGTTGAGCTTTACTTAAGGTAATGCATGTTATGTTTTAATGTGACCCATTAATTAAATTGATATCTGTTTGTAAGAGTTAATACTAGATTTTACTTAAAAGGGATAGATTTATCTGTTTGTACTTCCATTGCAATATTAAAATATTTAAATAAGAAGTGAATTAACCCATTGCCGACAGACATGCCATACCATGCCCACTGTGAGATTACTTGTTTAATTGTTATCACACATAGATGGTTACACTTGTACTAAATCAAAAAATAGCCAGTTACGAGTACCGCCTGTCTTGCCCGTTCACCCTTTTTTTTTATTTACAAAATATTTTACGTTAATTTATTTTGCTGTTACTAATGTTAAAAAACATAATAATTATAATGTTTATAATAAAAATAACACCATCGATATTCATGGCACTAGTGAAAAATACGTTTTTCCCGCCATTTCAAATCAGGCACTAACAGAGCCATCTATGGGCAGACATTTCACCAAAAAATATAGAAAATAGGCACAGCATTTTTTTTTTTTTTTTTTGCTGTTACTAATGTTAAAAAACATAATAATTATAATGTTTATAATAAAAATAACACCATCGATATTCATGGCACTAGTGAAAAATACGTTTTTCCCGCCATTTCAAATCAGGCACTAACAGAGCCATCTATGGGCAGACATTTCACAAAAAAATATAGAAAATAGGCACAGCATTTTTTTTTTTTTTTTTATTTACAAAATATTTTACGTTAATTTATTTTGCTGTTACTAATGTTAAAAAACATAATAATTATAATGTTTATAATAAAAATAACACCATCGATATTCATGGCACTAGTGAAAAATACGTTTTTCCCGCCATTTCAAATCAGGCACTAACAGAGCCATCTATGGGCAGACATTTCACCAAAAAATATAGAAAATAGGCACAGCATTTCCCCCCCGTTTTTTTTTTTTTTTTTTTACAAAATATTTTACGTTAATTTATTTTGCTGTTACTAATGTTAAAAAACATAATAATTATAGTGTTTATAATAAAAGTAACATAGGCACAGCATTTCCCCCCCGTTTTTTTTTTTTTTTTTTTTTTTTTTTTTTTTTTTTTTTTTTCATTTTCATTTTCCCCGGCAGCAATGGGTTAAGTTAACAGATGACTCATTTTAAAACTTTTTCTTTCATAAAAGGAGAATCATATGTCATGTTACTTCCCATTACAGGAGACATTTACAAAGGGAGAGTTTGTAAATTCTTTTTATAATATTATGATAACTTAGGCATTCCAAATTGGATACTGTATCACTCAGGAGAATTGGATTCAAATGCAGATATGTTAACCTGTAATCACCTTTAGATGTTAGATAAGCACTTTTACATTTGTTAACAAATTCCACAAAAACGTTTTGTCTACAGATCAATGTGGGGATGAGGTAGTCAGGATGTTAACCATGCAGTACCGCATGAATACTGACATCATGCAATGGGCATCGACAGCCATGTACCAAGATCGCCTCATTGCACACTCCTCTGTAGCCTCGCATCTTCTTCATCAACTACAGGGAGTGACGACCAATGAAGACACAGGTACAGTTCACCAGCCATGTTTGTCTTTTTTTTAATTGTCTTGCGTGTGTTGCTGTTTCATTGCAGGTTTACCTTTTTTGCATGGGAGTGTGTTTAAGAGGGGTTGGGATGCTGTTTGGATATAAGTCTTCTTGCATCTATAAGCTATATTATTTTGTTATTCTGTTTATATTCATTTTATGAAAAGGGATTCAAATTATAGTCTACAAAAAAATTATTTATTTTAAGTTTATATAAATCTAAAAAATATAAATGATCTACTATGTTGTCAACACCATTATTTACCAGACAGTTTGATTTTACATGGGAAAAGTTCTGTATATGATGCTTTTGCTTAACCTTTTCACGTCACAATTAGAACTGGCCAACATAACAGTATATACACACATATATGGTTGGAGACATTTCGGTTTTGCATGTGAGACAACTTTAATAACTTTCCATCACCAGTAACTAAAACTCGTTCTGAACTTGTCACACACACAATTCACAGTATAAGTTGGTAACTTCTGAATAGGTAGGGTTGAAACGGTCAACTGAGTGTGAGGTATAGTGTGTAGGTGCTAATTTGGATGTGACTGTTTTGTGGTGTACTGTACATAGAAGAACACTGTCTTGGAAGTGACTCTGTTGAAATAGAATTTTGTTCCCTCTTCTCTTTTCAAAGATCGAATACTTGAATATCTATGGTTTAAAAACAAGAAAGTTTGCAGTGAAGTGAATCTGCAGGACAAAATATATGTCTGTAAGTGTAGATTGAGGCATTTCTTTGTACTAGCTAGATCATGTTACATAAAGGTTACCCTGAGTTCATTCCTTGTTTAACTGATTCACATGGTTTTGCCCACACACTAGCTAGTGTACAGCAAGGTCTTACAGGGGACAGCTTTTGTATGTGCTGCAAATGTTATATTCTAAGATGCAAGATTTGTCTTTAGAAAGGGTCATGTTGCTGTGGTCTTGATATATAGAATAGTGATAAATGTTGCTCACTCAGTAAATGCAGTAAGATTGTCGGTATGTGAGGCACAAAAGGTTTTATTTGCTGTAGAATATTGAACTCATAAGACCTTGCATTTATTGGGATAACACAACATGACGAAGTGAAAATAATTGTTACAAGCACATTCTAAAGTACTTTGAGAAGGCAGTGAAGAAATTGATAGTAAAAACAGGAAGAGACTGTGCTAAATGCAGCAAGTACCAGTTATAATCTAGACTGTAAGAAGAGGGGAACGAGACAGTGTCACAGACTCTACAATATGTACATGTTTGATTGTATTTTAATAATACTAAACCCTTATAATCTAATCTTCCGCCTGATGCTCTTTACCCGTGGAAGGAAGCGGGAGAAGTGGGATTTGGGTCTCTCGCAGTTATCTTGGTAGGGGCCGATGCAAGAGGCGAAACCCATCACGTGGGCCAGGTAACTCTGCTCGTGGACGCGGTGCAGCAGGTGGGACATGGGGCCTGAGGGAGGAGCAGAGGGATGGGGTGATGGAGGACGAAGGGGTGGTTAATTGTACTGAGCGGGATATGGTGGTTTAATTTTTTTTTTTTTTTTTTTGATAGGGGAAAAGGAAAGAAGATTGTGTTAGCATTTTTGGGTGTGATATAATGCAAAAATGGGGGTTATGATATCTGTGTGCTTGTTTGTTTTGATTGCAATTAGATATTGTCATGGTGGTTTTTGTATGTGATTTGTTTCCTATATCATGGTTACGTGACAGTTTTGTTGTCGTGATATTTATTTTGGGATTAGGAGGTGGTAACTTACTATTGTTATGTTACATTACAGTATTTAGGCTCAATATATGGTAGTGCTAAGTCAGGAGCAGACAAAAGA